GATTCACGTCCCTCAGCAGGAGCACATGGAAAGGTTCAGAAAACTATAATCTTCACTACAGTCATCTGTTTAAAATGATAACATTTAGGAAAAAAGTACAATAATAGAAATGATTTATAATGTAACAAAGCTTAGAGATGCAAATGGTGAGAAGTAAAAGCTGCCCGTATATAATTATCTGTATTATTCGTGAGGAAAGCTGCACTTTTGTGAAGGAATAGTTGAGCAGTGCACTTAAAGCAAATATGAGCTACAGAATTATGAAGTTAAATACTGTCAAAGTGATAATTTATGAATAAAGTAACCAAGTATACATTAATTTTAAAAAATGAAGCTAAATATGATTGTTAGGGCTGTCCAACGATTACAATATTGAGTCACACGACTGTGGATAGTTAATTAATTGCAAAAACTCCAAATAACTTTAGTCTTGTCAAAGAAACCATCAGGCAGAGTTTGAAATCTGAACTGAATCATTACAGTTTTTATTCTTCTCTAGATGCCATAAGCAGGTTTTTGTCCATTTTAGATTTGATTTATTTTTGTGCTGCATTCAATCAGATTAAATGTTTGACTAAAATGTGTCACAAAGCCACGTGTTACTGAGCCAAAGGTCACCAAACTCAAGGACAGTTTAAAGAAGACTTGTGCCACAGTGCCAAGTCAGTGCTGTGTATCTCAGTATCCTCTCCTTTAAGCTCACTAATTGATCTCCTTGAGCAGCTTTTGTAAGCTAGAACCTTTTTCTCTTACAGACATGATAGGATGGTTTGTCCAGTTTACTCTTGACAAAGATTCAGCCTTTAATCCTTCATTGTGCTTATGAGAGACTGTATAAAAATAGCCAGATGACCCCAGAGTACAGGACTGATTAAAAATACATTAGGGCAATGAAGGCAATCTGTATGCTGTGAATAGTGTTGCTGTTTTGTGTCCTTACAGAAGTCTATAATTAAAAATCTTACCTTAATGATGAGGGTTTTTTTTTTTTTTTTTTTTTTTTTTTTTTTTTTTTTTTTTTTTTTTTTTTTTTTTTTTTTTAATTTTATTATGTTTTAGGATCCAGAAAGCCACAGAGTCTCTGAGGACCTTTCACCCTGCAGCTGACCCCTGCTTTGATGAGTTTGTCCTGGACACGTCCAGAGAAGAAATGCTGCTTAAAGAGATGTGCTTTGGTGGAGGTAAATGATTTCAGAGTAAAGGCAACACTTGGGTTGGCAGAAATGTCATTTATTGAATCATTTCTGACTTAAACCCTGTTTCAGTTGACTTTGATGCACTAACAGGTTAATCTGTTTACAGGATAGTTTGTAAATATTGTTTTCAGGGGTTTGGTGTGCTCAGTCAAACTAATTTCTGGAAAAACGGTGGTAAACAGCGAGCTTCTTGATCGTGCTCGGCTGGAAAAAGTGATCCCATCAGTTCATGAAAGAAAACATGGTGACATTTATGCTTCTATTCATCTGTGAGCATGAAGACCGGCTTTGTTTGTGGCTCCTCCAGATCATGGCAAAATGTGGCAATATGATGTAGAGCCCTGCCGTTATATTTCCTTACAAATCAAGTTGGTTAAAACATGAATAAGTTATTTTTGTTGTTGCATGCAGAGCCATTCAAACTGTGCTATGCTAAGAGGTCAGAGGTCATTTGTAGGCAGCCAAAATGAGAGCCGTGACTACACAAACTGTGTAAATCAGCAGACCAGAACAAACCACCAACATCCAAAGGCGCTTACTCTGTCAGAAAGCTGCTCAGGTAGAAGTTTCCCAGGGCTGAGAATATATATGCCTTCTTAAATTGCACTGGCAACCATTGCATTGCATTATTCTGACCTATTTCAGGTTTGTCTTCCCACAGCCTCAAAATAATGAGCAAACAGTAAGTCATAGCAAACTGATCTCAAAGCAAGACCATACCGGTGTTAAAGCACTCAAACAAAAAATGTCTTAAATATCTGATCAAGGTACGTAACTGTTCATTATCTAACAAGCTATGTGTACTTAACCTGTCTATATTGATCTGAAAGATTTGTTTTTAAATCTGTTCACCAGTTTTGAGACTCAAAGGTCTGTGAAGGAGTGATCTGGATTATTTAAAGTGCATGCAGGTTAATTATTGTGCAGGTTGCAAAAATGTCCTGCTAAGGAAATGCAAGTCATCACAAGCTCACTCAAAGGCCGGTCAGAGGCAACGCTAGAACCTTAAAAGATGATGCTCTTTGACATTGATCTGACACACAATATGTGAAGAAAAACTGGAGAAGCTACTCCGGCCTCAACTGCTACATCGAATCACACTCCAAACTCAAATTCAGGTTCAACCTCATACGTTTCAGTCAGTCGTCCTAATTTACACAATTTACATCAGTATATCCAGAGATTTGAAGAAGCAAAGGGGACATCTTTGGCTTCAATGCCTCCCTCGAACTGTCACTAAAACTGAAGGAATGGAAAAGTGACACGGGTGTCACCTAGGAACCCACTCTCCTGTTTATAAGAAGGCCCACCTCCAGGCATTTGGCTCTAATCATAGACATGCCCAGGGAGACTAGTTGTATAATTGAAACAGCCCGTGTATCTGAGCAGTAAATGGTTAATAGACTGGTACTTGTATAACACTGTTTTACTCGTACTGAAGACTAGAAGCACTGCAAACTTGCATTCTTTCGAATGACCTCTGGTTGGGCAGAAAAAGTACTTCATACGCTGCAGGAAGGAGCGCTTTCGCAGATCATTCATCCCAACAGCAGTTACTCTATAACTCAATCACAATGTCATAAGTCACTGGACATTGTGGAGATCCACGGTCACCACTTCATGCATGCACTTAATGCACCTTCTATTTGTATGGACATGTGCAGGTATATTTAGTGTGTAAGTGTGTGTACATGTCTATACTTATACATATCTATGACTTGCATAGGGATAGTAATGGTAGAATAGTTATCTTATAACTTTATAGTTTGTCTTGCATATTTCCACAACCATATCCATAATCACATACTGTATGCTACCGTTGTATATAGTGCATTATCTTACTTATTTTATATTTGTTGGTATTTTATTTGTATGTTTTGTATGTTCCTTCCTGCTATCTATACCTGAGCTGAGGTAATGCAAAAATTTCACCACCGTGGGATCAATAAAGTCTTATCTTATACCTGATTTCTCAGAAACATACTTAATAGTTTTTGTATATAATCATCTCTGGTTCTGTTAACTTTCCAACTAGCCACATTTTATTTATTTGAAAAGAAAAAAAGCAGCCATCAAAGTGCTCAGATTGCACAAACCAATAGCTGTCGTCATGGTAGCCAGCTGAGTCTTATACGTTGTCTGACGTTCCTTAATGATCAAATTGGAGTTCAACACAGCCTTGTTGTGAGTCATGCTTTGACATTTGGCTCTGTTTGGGAGAGGCTCATTCCTCGTGCGCTTTACTTTCTTTAATCTAACTTGACAACTTAATACGTATTAGTGACTGAGAGAAGGTGGTATTGATATTCTCCACTGCATATAGTGATGGTTAGTTGTGACAGGACTTTCAGTCATAGTTATGCAGTGACACTTGATTGGTGTTTGAGGCCATCCTGGAAACTGATAGCAGTTATTTGACAAGCTGCTTCGGTGGCAGTAAAGGCTTTAGCTCTGATTGTCAATGTTCTTTCAGACAAAGCGCTAGATGGTAAATATCGAGGGATTGAATGTTGATATTTATAGACAGCACTGAGGTCTCTCGGTGCTGTTCAGTGAAACGGCAACCGAACATTATTATTTAGTGCAACTAAATAGCTGGCAGTTGTTCCAGTGACTGTTGGTGACATGAATTTGTGATTATGGGCTTTTGTTACTGCACTGAAGAGCAGCCCCGCTTGGTTTGTTGAAAATCAGTGATGTGAGACGTCTCAAAGGCTACCGCTGGCTCGGTGTAGACACTGAAGGAAAATGGTCTGTTTTTCTGTGACTCATGAAGAACGGTTGGATAACGATCTAGTTATTATCTCCTCTATAATCTGATTACGGGCCAGCTTTAATTTACTGTGGTCAAAAACGATGGATGCATTAAAAAAATGTGTAGGAAAAGGGGATCTGTACAAAGGCCACAAGAGCAGAGCTGTGGATTCTGTTTTTTACAGGAGGAGTGTAAAGGGGGAAGGTAATGCTGCTGGAAAACTTTTTCTTTTTGAATAGTCAATGAAGCTGTTTAAAGACTTAAGCGAGTTTATATTTTTAAAGAAGTTACTTGCTTAGTCCTCGGCATGATTTAAAAACGTCCTTTAAATTTCAGATTTGACTTTCTTTGTATAAAGTGTTGCCTGTGTAGCAGTGATGCATTTTCTTTTTTTTTTTTTTTTTTAGAAAAGTGCTGCATGCAGCAGTTTGGCGGCAGCCTTTAATCTAAAGGCCTGCAGGAGCCAGTTTAGTCCAAGCCCATGAGACAATAAGCTATGAGTGCGCCTGTATACTGCAGTAATTACATTTAAGGAGGTTAAAAAATGACTGCATTATTGGTGGATCCTCTCCCTCATCCTTGTACTGTACTTGACTGCATTTTTAAAAACTTGAGGCTGACCCCAAGTGCTTTTTGTTCAGTGCTTGTGTCTTGTCCATGTTTCCTAGTGCACTCATCATCCTTTGGATAACGATGCGTTTGTGCTCACTCCTTTTAACCCAGCTATGGCCATACTGTGGCGTATGAACCCCCCCCTAAAGCTCTGCTTCTCAAGAGGATGTGAAAGACTGCTTTGTCTCAAGTGTAAATGCCCATTTGTGGTCAGTTTCAAACTGGAGTTTCTGCTAAACATCAGGCTATGATCAGAGGTCTCAACATTTCATATCTCTTAAAGAATGTTTTTCATGTCAAAGCTTAAAGATTTTGAAGTGGGAGCTGTTGAAAGTCCAGTACAGGGAGCAGGGGAATGATAAAGAATATGAGTCAGAGCAGCTCCATGCAGTGTAAGCTGTAATGTACATGATCAATAGTGTTTTTCTTCCGAATCACTGAATGAGGGCTTCCTGCTGAGTTGGATGGCTGACTGCCCCGTTTGGTCCTCACTTGTTTGTCCATCTGTTTGAACAGGTGAAAACCTAAAATTTTATTTGTCAGGGTAGCAGATGGCTTTTTTTTTTTTTTTTTTTTTTTAAATCAAAGAGGGCCTGTGGTGGTTACTCTTTACTTTCCCTGGTTAATGCTGATCTACATTAAGAACTCTTAATACATTGTGCTTTAAGATTACACAAGCTCATAAAGGAGAGCTGCCTGGGAGAAGTAAATTGGGGACTCGGGATTAGCCAAGTGACTTTGAAAGCTTAACAGCAGTGGTGACACTGGTCAGTGAGGGGAATCTACTATTGTGGGGAAAAGATGACAAAAATGGGAAGGATTGAAAACTAGAAGGGGAAAAATATAACCAAAGGGATGAGGGGAAACTCTCACTGGGAGGATGATGGAAGTATACAGAGAAATGCTTTGATCTTGGAGAGGAGCTGTGACCTACATGGTGGCAGTAATTTGATTGTTTCTGGAGGAAAGAAATTAGCTGAGGAGTGTAACTGAGGGAATCCTTCAAGGGGTTTGTCCTCTAGCATAAGCCAGAGGCAGTTAATATGTAGGTGAATGTAAAGCCATGGAGAGATGGGTTAACAACACAAGCAGAAAATTGAAATGACTGTGTTGAGAAAATGGATGGGAAGAAACAAAGTGCAGTAAGGGAAAGAAGCTGAGTTGGGTGTAAGTGCATTTCCTGGCTGTGAGTTTGGGAAAAACTCTTAAGCTTCATTATGCAAGATAGTCCATTGTCCTGAGTGGATAGTCTTGATCCTGACAAAGCTAATCTTAGCTATACTTGCATTGCTTCATTTGCTTAAGCCCAAGCTATGTAGCTGAAATACAGGGCCCAGCATGATTAGAATGAAAGTAATTTGGCTGCTATTGCTGTGTATTTTTATTTTCTTAAATTCATGTCTTTTGTCTTTTTAGGCGACTGTATGTTGCTGTTATATAAATAAAATTAAATGATCTGTTGTCTTGCAAATCCTAAATCTTCCAGAACTGTCTGCCATGTGAGATTTGTTTTTAAACTTGGACAAAACAAGCTCTTCCCCAGATTTGTCATTGTTTTGAAAATCTTCATAACAGATGTTAAATGCTATATTTTAGAGGCTTTCCTGGTTGCACAGTTTGTTTACTTGTTGTTTGGCCTTACTTGTTGTTTCACCTGATTATACTGACTGGTTCCTTTGCTCTATTCTTTACACACTTTCTTTCTCTTCTCCAGTTCCAGACCCACCTCTGATTGACCTGTCCAATAGCAGAGTCTATAATGAGGCCTCAATCTGCTGGAGGCTCTCTGATGACCACCTACCTACTGATCACCACATGCTTGAGTACCGCAGGTGAGTGCAAGCATGACTTTGGGAGTAGAGGGATGTGTAGCGCCACGGATGAGTTACAGATACTTGAAGGAAAAAATATAATTTTTCTCCAGACTTGGAGGCCCAGGTCAGTCCCCATCCCAGGAAGACGGCGAGGACAATGGTGTCTGGAGGGCCACAGACAGAGTGTACGGCCCCAGCACCGTGGTGTGTGACCTGGAGCCTGACAGTCTGTACTCCTTCAGAGTACGAAGCTGCAGGAACTCCATGTTCAGCCCCTACAGTCCTGAGGTCACCTTCCACACGCCACCTGCACCCGGTAAGCCTGAGACGCATGATTTATTCCCGTCAGTTAAAAATTTGTTGCATTTCCCCTTCAATCCTGTGTTGGTTCTTCTGCTGGAGACAGAAGAGTAAAAGTGTTAAAGAATGCGGTGACTTACTAAATTCAAGCCGTTGTTTGTTGTTGATGCTGAGTTCATTAATGACTTGCCACGCTGACTACTGGAGGACCAACCCCTGTTATTGGGCCTCTTTCTAGCAGCAGCCAAGCTTTTTCTATCCCCTCTAGTTCTCAAAGCACGTCTGTGCTGAATGCTGTGCTCGACTTTAGGGAGATTATAAAATGATGGATGCTCCACTGTTTTTAAAACATTTTTGAATTTCCTTATAGCTAGCAGGCTGGAGGTAATGAAGCAGAGTGGTAGTGTAGTTTATCACCATAGTAATGGCTTTTGTTTCAGATTGCTGAAACCAATATAGCTTTTGTCTGTGTGCGTGGGAGTGGATGGCATACAGCATGTCAGCTTGGAGAAGAAACCTGCAGTTGCATCTGTTGCTGGCATTCTTAAGCTTTCCTCAAAGATGCAAGGTGGAATTCATTAAAAAGGATTATCATTTCCAGCCATCTGCTGGGCTTGAATTCAAATGGAACCTTCCCAGTAAGGGACTGGATCCCTTTGATTTACATCCTGCTTGGAAGGTGTTAGTCTCCTCACTTTGGGCTGTTTTCTCTGGGTGTATGCTATAATTTCAGAAGGTTTGCAGAGCCTTTTTTGTAATGACACTCTTCCTTAAAATCTGAAAATCTCCAGGCTCCACCACTCCGTCATGCCAGGAGCCTGTATCAAAATCAGCTGTAAACATGTTGCATCCCCCTGTGATCTGATAGGCCTGCATTTTGATTTGCAGATAAGTGTTGTTATTTGTGGTGTTTTGTTGTGCGATCGGAGCGTCCACATTCCTGTGCTGTCTGGTTCATGTGAGTCCGAATGGATGGACTCTGTGTGCATCAGTAATGAGGTGGAATTTCAAGCAAGGGAGGGAAAAATGCAGAAGACAAAACCTACACCCTTGTAGCTCCTGCAAGGAGCTGTTTATGATGTAACAGCTTCAGTTTAAGACAGCATCACATACCAACAACAGGCTAACACTGTCTGCCCCCAGCCAAGCAGGTGACTGACATGTCAAACAATGACATGTTAAACTTTGCCTGTTCTAAGTGCTCATAAGTTGATATTTACATGACATCTTAACCAAAAGGACTGCATAAATGTCTAGCTAGCCTGAATTTGATTTAAAATGATTATTAAAAAACGGTTACCTGGAAACTAATTTCAAGCTGCATAAATTGTATGAGCTATCGTTTCTTTAAAGATTTAATAAATGGATGGTAGCATCCATGTTTTATTAGGAATTTTGAATAATTCTACCATCCAGTGTTGTTCCTATTTGCCCCCTGGCTGTGGCAAGAAAAATGCAGACGGGCCTGTCGGACATCTAGCTTCAGGAGCAAAAGCATAAAATATCTGTAAACCAATGACATGATTGTTTTTCTTAGCAAACCTGACTTGTCAGTATTTTTTTTTTTACCTGGTTACGCATCAGTATTGCATCATATTTTTAAAGAAGGATGAGCAATTGACACCAGTTACAGAAACTCTTACAGAAATTATTTACTTATGTTGATTAATGATTCAGCTGTTTGTGAGATCAGGGAAACCTTAGACCCACTGATACCCAGATCGATAACAAACATAAGTAAAAATGTATGAATAACTTATTTCTACTACTTCCAATCAATGACCAAATTATTATTATTTTTAACTGAGTTTTCTAATTAAATAGACTTATGGGAAAAATAAGAAATCCAGTCTGAGACATGGGTTCTTGCACCTGTCTTATGTATTGAGGGAGTTGCAGCTGTTATGTTCTGCAATATTTCCTCTGTATCTTCCACTAAAACTGTACTTAAAATATTCTGCAGACCCCAAATCATGTGGACAGCACAAACTGTTTCCTTAGAAATGGTATGGACAAGCACAAAGCATATTGGCCCCTTTTTTCTTTTCTTTTTTTTTTTTCCTCCCCCTCCCCATTATGGGGTGCTGCAATCTTTAGGGCTGGAAGAACAGATGGTGGTTTCAGAATCTGGGTTAGAGAAGGTGTGGCAAAAAAAGAAAATGATTTGTACAAATGGTTAAAGATGACCATTTATGTCAGACAAATTCCTCAAACCCCTACCTCTATATCTGCATGTGAACATGTTTTGTTTTTTCTTTTCCCCCCCCACAGCCTTACACTTTTGCATGATGGCACATTCAGTGTTGACGTTACAGTACAAATAGTTGCTGAGGACTTGTAATACCACAGTCAAATTTAACAGATGGTCTCCTGATGCTTCTGACTCATGCATCCAATGTCTGGAGGGAAAAGTCACCCTGTGTCATTGTGTATGTGGAATCAGTAGTTCAAATGATGTCAGATGTAAATGTCTGATATCATGTTCCTTTTCCCGTGTGTGTGTGTAATGGATGTATAGTCTGCGGACTGTCTTTAGCTTTTACCCCTCAGCCATTGAAGGCTGATGTGGTATTGCAGTCGGTGGATGGGTGGGAAACATGGACACTCAGGTTTGTGAATGCGATAACGTGAAAATGAAGCGACATAGAACCTTTTTATAAGTTGATACCGTGGGCATTTCTATTGAAAGTCTTGGACAAATCTGCATCTCAGTGAACTTGAGGCTAAGGTCAGATGTTTAGAATCTGAAAGTTTAGTGAATGCGATAACTAGACAAGGATTTCACCTAGGGGTTTGAACTTCTGGTGTATAACCCTTGAGTTGAATTTCTTGGATCTCAGGGTGCACAGAGAATATTGAATTCTTTATATAAAATCTAAAGAATGGAAACGGCTCAGGTCACTTTGCATACATATTTCAACATCAGCGATACAAAGTTTATCATACTTGAAAATGGGGAATCTACCAGCTTGTGTGCAATATTTGAAACAAATGCAAAATTAAATAAGACTGCATCGTTGTCTTTTCACACATTGGGTTAGCTTATACGAATATGATCATCATGCCCTAGTTGTTTAAAGGACTTCCCTAGACGCATGCTAATTAACTAGGTCTTCCCCAGTGTAGGCCTCAGATTGCAGAGAATGGCTGAGTGAACCGGCATAATCATGTTAGCTTGTATGTATCCTGGTGCATGGTAATCATGGCCTTCAGACTATTTATAGAATACATTTGCAGCCAGATGAGAAATGTAGGACATGGTTTCATTAGACTTCTCTCTGTCATGGTGTTATGATGATGGTGGTACTTGTAGTTCTTTATGTACATTTTAGGATTGTGTTATAGCACCCTCTTGTGTCAGTCTTTGTCACTTACCCAGTAACAGAATAGAGAAAATATTCCCTTTTACGTGAGCTAAATGCTCAATAAGAACTCTTCTTCTGAAACTGGGTCTGTTTGTCCCATTCATATTTCTGATTTCCATGTACTCTTCTCCTCTTTGTTCACCCTTTTTTATGTCCCACTTATCTAATTCTTCTATTGTCTTTTTGCATGCAGTGTTTGGTTTCCTGTTCAGTGACAAGTGTGGATTCAGCACGGAGAGGCTCATTCTAAATAAGAGACGGGATACTGTGGAGAGCGTAGCCGGCATGGCCTTCCTGCTCGCAGCCGAACGTGTGCAGACAGGCAGCTACATCGGACTAGATTACATAATTGGGGACACGGGCATCTCTCAGGGAAGGTATGCAAAACACAAACAACCAACACTGGGACTTGATACAAAAATCTCACTGAGCAGTAGATTTTGTTTCGTCAGTGCAAAGTAGGTTTAATTGCAAGATTTTCTTCCAGTTCCCAGGTTTGGTACAAATGAGCCCATTAGTGAAAGAATGGGCAAACTGGTCATCATAACCTCCTCTTTCTGAGGTGGAAAAAAATGCATTTTTATTTTTTTGCAGACATTACTGGGCCTTTAAGGTGGAACCATACTCCTACATGGTTAAAGTTGGCGTGGCCTCTGACACAAAGCTGATTGAATGGTTTCACAATCCGAGAGATACCAGCAGCCCAAGGTATGTGCAGCCATACCC